GCTCGGCCCAATATTGGAATCCCCTCTACAGCGTGCACTTCTGTAATCTAGGAATCTCCTAATTCGGAATGTAGACCAATTGTTGTATAATTTCAGTTCTTAGGAAGATCTTTTTTTTCCAAGAGGTAATTTTCCTGTATATTCCATCCGAGTCCCTACAATGCGGAAATGCGTTTAGAGAGCCCCATCGTGTCACTTTGGGGGACACACATCACAGCAGTTTTAGTGAGGTTTTAGAATCTGTCCTCTTTCTTGAGCAGAACACGCTGCAAGCACGTGAAGGTAGTTGGAGTCCCCTAACAATGGATAAATTCGTCATTCGAACGCCTAGAATCCAGAATACACCTCAGAAGAAACATCCCACAGAAAAGATTTACAAGCAGGCCACGATCGAATCTCTGAAGGTGAGAGGGGATCTGGGATTACAGAATATGTGCAAAGGACTGTGACAGCAAGGCAGTGCCGAAGGGTTCTATTATGGAAGACCTATGGATTATTTCCTGCTATGCCTCCTCTCCCAGAATATACCTGACCACTCCTTCATTGTTTTCCTCATATCCTGTACAGACTTTTATTTATCAAATCCTGCACCTCTGCTACATTCTTCTAATTACTCTGGCTTTAGAGTATGTTTGCCACCTGGTAGGACCTTTGTTATTATTCTTTTGCAAAATTTTCTTGTCTGTTAGGAATGCTAAAGTACCAAATATGATTCTATATACCCTGTACAAACTCAGTAAGGAGTGGCTGATGATGCTGTACCCATATTTTTCTGGCTAGAATTGTATCACATAGCCTCCACAGCTACAGCTGAGACTGGGAAAGAGACTTTTAATATGGACCCTTTGCTACCTGGAACTCAGTCTGCATTCTGTTAACAAGGAAGAGGCAAAGGATATATACAATGAATCAATGAACATAGGTACCCAATAAATGGCAAAGTAATTATTATTTCACCAAAAATAAAACAACTTGTAATTATTGCCTTTTGTCACCTTGTACCTCTCCTCCTACATTTCTTTTTCTTTTCTGTTTCCTTTATTGGTTCCTTTTCCTCCAGTAGATTCCTAATGTTTTTGTTCACCAGAGCTCTGTTACTTTTTATGTATTTGGCTAGAATCTCAAAGCTTTCTATGCCGAGGACTGCCAAACCTGAACCTCCAGTCTAGATTTCTGAAGGTGAAAGGGGAATCTGAGGCTAGACAAAATGTGCAAAGGACTATGACAGCAGGACGGTGTTCTGAGTACTTGACTTACATACTTAGCTAGGACTCCTTTTCTGCATGTCCCACAGGCTTTCCAGACCCATATTAGAAAGCAGTGAAGGGAATATAGACAGAAGCCCTGGGTTCTAGGTCCTATTGTGCAAAGGTTTGATCTTTAGCAGATCATTCCCTTCTCTGGGACTTTTGTTTCCTCATCTGTAAAATGTGGAGGTTGAACTATATCAGTGTTTCTTCAAGGGATGTTGTTGTCGTTTGGGGCAAGATAATTCATTATTTGGAGCTGTCCTGTGAATTAAAGGATGTTTAGTATCCCTGGCTCTTAGGCACCAAATGCCAATAGCTCCTCCCATTGTGATAACCCAAAATGCCTTCATTTATTTCCAAGCACCTCTTACTTGAGACCTAGTGAACTCTAGATGCTCTTTAAAGTCTCTCCTAGTTTGCAGGTATGTGACTTCATAGAACATGTTCAAGTGTTTCAACTGTCTCTACTTTATCAGAATATTCATGGATAATTGTATATAGCAGTGATTCTCAATGAGGGATCGTGATGTCAGACTCTCTGGAGGAAAAGTGGGGATAGTAATTGAACTACACATACAGTCACCAACAAACAGCGAGATTCTGATATACCTCCACCTGCCTCTTTTCTCCTCTATGTCTGCACTTGTACCCCAGTTGAGAATCATTATGTGTGATGATGAAAATAAGTGATGTGAAGATTATGGAATCAGAATGAACAGGCATATGGAATAACATTCCCCTTAAATATATTAGCTTTTTTCCAAACCTGTCCCTTATTCTCCTATGTTTACTTTTATATCCATATATCCATATACTGAGTAACTGTGACTACAAATCTAGGAACCATTTTTTTTTTTTAAAGATGACCGGCAAGGGGATCTTAACCCTTGACTTGGTGTTATCAGCGCCACGCTCTCCCAAGTGAGCTAACTGGCTATCCCTATGTAGGGATCCGAACCCTTGGCCTTGGTGTAATCAGCACCACACTCTCCCAAGTGAGCCACGGGCCGGCCCTTAGGAACCATCTTTTAACTCTTCTCATATGTATCCAATTTTTAATTCTGTTTCCTTAATATCCTTCTTCTCCATACTCATGTCTCCCACTTTAAATTCAAAATCTTGTTACAGCCCTAACTCATTTTATTGAGCTTTGCTTTATTGAGCTTCACAGATAATTGCGTTTTTTATAAATTGAAGGTTTGGGGCAACCCTGCGTCGAGCAAGTCTATCAGTGCCATTTTTCCAACAGCATGTGCTCACTTCATGTCTCTGTGTCACATTTTGGTAATTCTTGCAATATTTCAAACTTTTTCATCATTATTATATCTGTTATGGTGATCTATGATCTTTGATATTACTATTGCATTGTTTTGAGGTGCCAGGAATTGCACCCATATAAGGCGGTGAACTTAATCGGTAAATGTGTGTGTTCTGACTGCTCCATCAACTGGCCGTTCCCACATCTCTCTCTTTCTCCTCAGGCCTCCCTATTCCTTGAGACACAACAGTATTGAAGTTAGGCCGGCTAATAAGCCTACAGTGGCCTCTAAGTGTTCAAATGAAAGGAAGAGTTGCACATCTCTCACTTTAAGTCAAAAGCTAGAATAAATTAAGCTTAGTGAGGAAGGCATGTTGAAAGCTGAGAGGGCCAAGCCCGTGGCGCACTCGGGAGAGTGCAGCGCTGGGAGCGCAGTAGCGCTCCCGCCGCGGGTTCGGATCCTATATAGGGATGACTGGTGCGTTCACAGCGCTCACTGGCTGAGCGCGGTGCGGCCGGTCTCAAAAAGGACAAAAAAAAAAAAAAGAAAGCTGAGAGAGGCCAAAAGTGAGGCCTCTTATGCCAAACAGTTAGCCAAGTTATGAATGCAAAGGAAAAGTTCTTAAAGGAAATTAAAAGTGCTCCTCCAGTGAACACATGAATGATATAAAGTGAAATGGCCTTATTGCTGATTTGGAGAAAGTTTTAGTTGTCTGGATAGAAGATCAGACCAGTCACAGCATTCCCTTAAGCCAAGGCCTTATCCAGAGAAAGGCCCTAACTCTCTTCAATTCTACAAAGGCTGAGAGAGGTGAGGAAGCTGCAGAAGAAAAGCTTGAAGCTAGCTGAGGTTGGTTCATGAGGTTTAGGGAAAGAAGCCATCTCTGTAATGTAAAAGTGCAAGGTGAAGCAGCAAGTGCTGTCATAGAAGCTGTGGCAAGTTATCAGAAGATGTAGCTAAGGGCCGGCCTGGTGGCGCACTGCTACAGTGCGCTGCTTGGGAGCGCAGTAGCGCTCCCGTTGAGTGTTCGGATCCCACATACAGACCGGCGGCTCACTGGCTGAGCGAGGTGCGGGTGCAACACTGAGGGTTGCGATCCCGTTGCCGGTCCCGGTCCGGTACGGGCGTGACACTGAGGGTTGCGATCCGTTGCCGGTCACGAAAAAAGACAAAAAGGAAAAAAAAAAA